AGTTTTTAATTCCCACCGTGAACCAACTAAAAGGTTCCGAAATGAAGAAACGGTTCGCAATATATTTAGAGCAATAATATCCCTTAAAGTGTATACAAACATTTCGCAAGTAATACGTTTGTATAACAGGACAAGAGAAAGAACAAGAGAAAATAGGAGCCGTTTAGAAAAACTTGCTTTAATATGTGAAATTTGTGAAAATGGGTAGAAAATCTACCAAAATTTTTAAACCTTGATATAAATATATAAATCTATATTATATATTAAATCTAAATTTGCAGATCTACACACAAGTCCAGAAGTTTTAAATATTGAAATATTTCATCTTATTATTGATTTTTATATATAAACCTTTCTGAATAGTAATCACCATTTTGATTCAATTCTCATCATTGCTAAAAAAACATCAAAGCCAGATAAACGATATGCAAAAAAAAGATTTAATCTCTTGAGGTAAAATAATTAAAATGCTCCAATTACATTTAAGAATAAATTAGTATATATAAAAGATACTTTTAATCAAATAAATAATCAGTGTTTCCTCCATTGACATGTATGCATGCCTGTAGCTAATTTGGCATGCTGCCGATTAACTGATCGAATTTTTTTTGCGGAATTTTTTTCCATTCCTTACGAACAGAATCTTTTAGTTCTCGAAGTGTAATAGGGGATTGTGTCGCTTCGTGATGCGTGTTTTGAGAATGTCCCAAGTATGTTTAATGAAGTTTATGTTGGGGAGATTCGAGGACCACTGTAATTTGGCTATTTCATCTTCTAGAAAATTTGGTACCGCTGCTATTCGATGAGAAGGTGCGTTGTTATGCATAAACAAAAATCCATCATCTACTGCCCCTTAAAATAGACGCACGGTAGAATTAAAACTTCCTTGATGTACACAGCACCTGTGACTCTTCTCTCCAGAACCAGTAGTGGCGTCCGTGCAACGCTCATAATACCACTCCAAACCATGTTACTGCCACCTTCAAATGGGACTCGCAGTTGGCCTGATTTTAGTCGGGCTTATCGTTCTGGGGAACTTTAAACCAGTGCTTTTCGCAAATCAGAAACCAAGCCAATTTTTTATTTATCAGAGAATATCACTTTATTCCAATTCAGACCATAATGCACCATTTCTCTGGCCCATTGCAACCTTACATTTTGTGTTGGTAGGTTAATTTGGGAATACGTAAGGGTATACTACAATACAAGTTCACCGCATTTAGCCTGCGTGTTATTGTTTGCCGTGAAATATTCAGTCCTTGAAGCCTATTCCAGACTATTTTTTTAGAACTATCAATGTTCTTTGCTGGTTTTGGGCTGCTATTGTACATCTGCTACTTCTGCCACTTCTGAAGCGATCCTTCACGTCATTTATATCATGGATTGTTTTTCGATAAAACACTCCTAATAACATTATTAACTCTAGAAAGGTGGACTATCGTAAATTTGACGACGCTCCTCGGTTTTCGTCGCAGTTCTGGTGCAGTCGCGGAACTTCTGCCCATACACTTCTCAGTAGCTGTTTCTTTAGTCTTGATTTAACAGGCGGTGAGTGTGTTTCTCCACTACTGTATTTATGTATTAGATTTTTTGAGGGCACGTCGTCAATTTTACGAAAGTCCACGTTCTACGTTAGTTTTTTTCTCTCAAGTTTATTTGGACGCCGTTTGACGTTTTTGGTAAGTCATTAACTAATTCTTTTTTCTATTTGTAGTAAATATTATTTTATTTAATTATAGCACTATGTCATCAAGAAAACCTTTAACGTCAAGTGAAATAAACGATAAAATACAGCGTATAATAAATGGTGAAGGTAGTGAGCAGGAACCTTTTGAAAATAGTGGAAGGGACTGGGAGTTAGAAGAAGATGCTTTGCAGTTTGAATTGGACGATTCAGATGAACAAGATGACTCTAAAAATAGTGGTAATTCCAAAATTTTTCAGCCATCCAGTGTATTCAGTTCATCTGTAAATTTAGTGGATGCAGATATAAAAGCAATAGTGGTGGAAAGCGAAAAATCTACAAGAGAAGTACCTGGAACATCAGGTGAGAGCTCCACTGTTTCTCAGTTTATTGTAAATCCGGGAAAGGCTCTAAAAGGTAAAAACGGGCAGAGGTGGTCAAACAAAATACCTTCATTGTCAAAAAGAACGGCAGCTAGAAATATTATTCATTTTATATGGTCCCAAAGCAAATGCCAAAAACTACACAAAAGTTGAAGAATATTTCTTACATTTTTTTTTCAGAGGATATATTATGCCGTACTCTGTTACACTCAAATACCAAAATTAGAAGACAATCTAAAAAATATGCCAGTCGTCCTAATATTTCTGACATGAGTAAAAATGAGCTACAAGCTTTATTGTCAATTTTGATAATGTCTGCAGCAAATAAAGACAGTCATCTATCTGTGAAATATATGTTTGACAGTAATATATCAGGAAAATTTTATCAGGCTTGCATGAGTGGTCAGCGTTTCAAATATCTCATAAACTGTGTTAGGTTTGATGAAAAGGAAACCCGAAAAGAAAGGCAGCAAGATGATCCTTTTACGCATATACGCGAAATAAAGGACATTTTTATTACCACCTGCAGAGAATCATATACACCTTCATCCTATCTGACTATTGATGAACAGTTAGTAGGATTTCGAGGACGTTGAACTTTTCGAATGTATTTACCTGATAAACCTAATTCGTATGGTCTCAAAATCGTAGTGATGTGTGACAGCTCTTCGAAATATATGATCGATGCTATTCCTTATTTAGCCAAGAAAACTAATACAAATGGTTTGCCGTTGGGTACATATTTTGTAAAGGAACTTACAAAATCTGTTCATGGTAGTAACAGAAATATTACCACGGACAACTGGTTTACATCAGTTAGCTTAGCAGAAGAGTTATTAAAAGATCAGTACAAACTGACAATTATCGGAACTCTTCGCAAAAATAAAAGAGAAATTCCACAGGAATTGTTCAATGTAAAGAACAGAGTCCCCAATACATATATGTTTTGTTTTGATAAAAGAAAGACATTGGTATCATATATGTCAAAGAAAAATAAGGTAATTTTACTTCTTTCAACACTTCACGAAGGTGCTGATGTTTCCAAAATAAATGGCAAACCCACTATAATAACTGATTATAATGGAACAAAAGGAGGAGTCGATACATTTGATCAAATGTGTTCGAATATGAATGCAGGTCGTAAAACGAGGAGATGGCCTTTGTATATCTTCTATAATATGATAAATATTGCAAGTAATAACTCGTATGTTATTTACACCACAAACACAATAAAAGCAAACAGAGAAGTTTTATCCAGATACGAATATATGGTTAAATTGGCTCGTCATTTCGCCGAACCCTGGCTAAGAGAACGATTGTGCCAAAATTTGCGAAGAAGTTGAACGTCCGTTACTTGAAAAAAAAAAAGGAACGCAAGGCATGTTTCCATTGTCCGAGTAAAAAGAGGCGCATGACTACCACATATTGCAACCAATGCCATCACGCTATATGTGGCGAACACCGAGGTAATATGTACAATGTGTGCAAACGAGTAGTGTACATCGACTTTATTTATATGTGTACCACTTACTAAGATTTACATTTTTTCTAATTTTTTGTAATAAAAGTGTTTATAATTACATTTGTATTTTTTTTTTTCAAGTTTTTGTTAGATGTCATAAAAATTACGATAGTCTACCATAACTGTCAGTAAATAATAGTCCACCTTTCTAGGGTTAATATTTGCGTTATCATTTTAAATAAAGCTCTGTTGTAACAAGGCAATTAGGCAATGAGATATGACGTTTTTTATGCACTTTTAAATGGATCAAATCAAATTTAAACAAAGACTGAAATAATCTGTAAATTGGCGAATCAGTGACCAAAATAATTCAAAAACGATTCAAACTTTTTATCATTTTCATTTAAAAACGATGTGTAGTGAATTTAAAGGCCACAATATTTCTTTTGATAACTTTTTTACATAACAAAATATATATATATATATATATATATAGATATATATATATATATATATATATATATAATATATATATATATATATATATAATATATATATATATATATATATATATGGAGAACATCAATTTGGTATTTGTGAAGATTAAAAATAATACAAAAATAAACCAAGCTGTTTTTTATTTACTTTTGACATCCTAAACTTGACTATTTGTCAAATATAAGTGTTTTTATATTTTGACTCAATCTGTATATCTTTTTGTTTATTGTTATCTAACAATAAATTTTCGGAATAAAAATCTAACTATTTCGTAAATTTTTAAAAAAATAAGTTAATAAAGATTTTGAGCTCTTTTAAATTTTTGAGTCGAATGTAATCTCAACTTATGAAAATCGTTCCACCAATCCCACCTTGCGGTTTTAAGGTTAACAAAGATAAAGTAATTTTGTAAAGTTTATTTTAAAGCTTAAGCAATTACCTTTAACATGACAGAGTTTTGAAAGTTAACTGCACCAGTGATAAAGTTGAGAGTTATACTTGGAACTCCTCTTCGAATGCCTATTTTGCAATTGTTTTTCAAGAAATTTGTTATAACTTTGGATCTGACAATCGGATCTATGTTTACCAAACCCAATTTTGGTAATTTTTTTTAAATAGACATTATTTCCATGTTCATAAAATTAATTTTTTTTTATAGTTTAGGATATGATAATTTAAACGATTAAATTGTTAATAACAAATCATCTGAGGATTTTCAGCCTAATACCTTTAAAAAATCGATTTTACAAGCAAAAATTATAAAAAAAAAACTTCAAAGAACCGAGACCGAGGTGACAGAAATGTGCGTACTCAACCCTCGGGCTTCTAGACTATACTCTCAAAGGCAAAAAGGATAAATTGTAGTTAAACTTTGTCGGAAATCATACCATTAATAAGGGTTCACAGAAATAAATACCTCAGAAAACTTTTATTTTGAATTACCATTTTTGATATTTAGAAATACATACGACCGTTATTGCTTATTAATATTTCGGTACTCGTCATATTCGGTTAAACTTTTTAGAGTAACCTTAACACCCAATTTCAGACACAGCAACAATTGACCTTCTCTTACAAGTTCCAGCTGATACTTCTTATATCCCAACATTCCATAGCGTACTCGCCATACTGCAAAATCAGTTCTTAGTTCTTTAATAAAATAGCTGCCTTTTGGGATTGGACAAATACTCTCTACCTCTGCATCTTCATCAGAAAATAATTTAGTGTAAGCGTGGTCATCAAGAAAATCATCAGCTAACTTGCAGAAGCCTTTCTGGTTTAGATACGTGATTATTGGCTGGTTTGATATTTCTAAAAGTGTATGAAAGGCATAAGTAAAAGTAAAAGAAAAAAGAAATGACAAAAACATAATATAAAATAACAGTTATATTATTAAAAATTAAAGCTAAGTTCGTAATACAAAAAGCAGAACAAAAGTTTAATATTTGAGCATTTGTTGAATTATCATATCCCACGCAGGATTTTAAACGATCGCATTAGCGATGTTATGACTATATCCTTTCGTTAATCCATGCAGTTTTGTACAAGCGTAATCAAGCAGAAAGCTGCTTCACGTGTACCCAGTCCGCTTTTTAAACCAAATTGTGTCTCATCACTTAGATCTTCCAGCTTTCTAAACATTCCTGTGTGAAGGATGCGAAGAAACACCTTAAGCAAATGGTTCATTAAACTTATCAGTCCTCTTTTTGTCGCTCTTTGTAATTTAGAGATTATTATAAAGGTAGAATAAAGCCAATCCGTTGGAATGTAGCCGGTGTTATATATGGCATTGAAAATTGTTACCAGTATGTCGATGTTATCATCTTTCAACAGTTTTAGCGCTTCTGTAGTAATTCCATCCGGTCCAGGAGCCTTGCCTAAGTTAGTAGTTGGCAGATTCGGTCTATTGTCCGCAAAGAGAGACGAAGCATAGTCTGTCCAGATTTAAGCTAGTTCTTCTTGTTTATAAACATAGTTTCCTTGATCATTCTTCAGAGGAGTCTCATGTTGTTTCTTGTATATACTCGAAATTTCTTTGACCCTTTTATGCAGTCCAAAGCTGTCTCCCTTTTCTTGTAGTGATTCGAATTCTTCACAACGTTCTTTCATCCAGCTTTCCTTTGCGTTTTTAATTCTTGCCCCAATTGTCCGTTGGATTTCCTTGTATTTCTGTTGATTCTGATGTATTTACTACTGTCTGTGTTGCTCCATTAGATCAAGTATCTCTTCCGTCATTCACTCGTCAATTTTCTCTTCTATTTAAATATTTTTTCTACTATTTAATTATTTAACTAAGATGTTCCTGACTGCATTTTCTAGTTCTGCAATATTTTTTAGATTTAATCAGCATTTGGCAATGCTGATTTTCTTCTAGGCTTGGTAAGGGATTTCTTTTTTGATGTCTTGATTTTCATGATTTTTAATAATTTCATGAGAGCCGTTCTAGACAGGAGTTCTTGAAAATATTCAGGCAATATTTCAATTACTTTATTTTTGATGATCAGAATTTCTTCTCTTTAACTCTTACAAAGTTGGGTGTTCATAAAAAGGATTCTATTTTATGTCTTAGTATTTCCCTGTAGAAAGTTTTCAAGTAAAACTTTACCTATGTTTACTTTTACTGTTTGGATTTTTGTGTTGTTGTATTGTTTTAAATTTTTTACTTATGTTATTCTAGCTGCGGATCTCTGCAGATTAAATTGTGTATAATCTGTAAGGTTTGAAAACTAATCTGATCTTGTTTTGTTCGTTTCTGGTAGGAACATATTTTCTTTTCGTTTTCGTCTTTATTTTAATGAATTTTTATTCTGATTTTGTATTAGTTCTTTCACTGCAGTGCAATTTTGCACTAGCTATTTCAAAACCTCTCAGTTACTTATTTTTTCAACGATGGATAGGCAAAGGAAATCATTTTTAAAGTTACCAAGAACTATTGATTATAATTACTCTTCATTTTCTAAGAATTCTAAAGTTTATAGTTTCTGAAAAGTAAAATATAAAACGGAGAAATTTTAAAAGAAAACATAATAATCTGGTTTTAAACTTCAAAAATCTTTAATCAAAATCATTGAAAAACGTATACCCTCGGGAGTGAAAACACAAAACATTTAACTTGAGTTTGCACCTTTACACTTAATTGTTTTTAATTCTAATCGTCGAAATAAACAAATAGACGTCGAAATTAAAGTCTTGCATTACGAGTTTCTTTATTGTTTGTCACTTGAAACCCTCTCTAAGGCTCCGTGCTGTATAATTGGGTTTTTCTTGAAAACTGTTGAAATATTCGGTATACAAATCAAGTCCAACAATATTACTTGAAAGTGTTATTAACATCACATTTTCTTATCATATATACGGTCCGTCCCAAACCCTTTTTTCAGTGCGTCACTAAATGTGACGTCATATAGGATTTTAAGAATGTCGAAAATTATTGCTTGACATTTTAGTTAAATCTGACAGTTGCAGGATCGTAATCGACTAAATGTGAAAAGATTTTTTTTTAAATAGGTATGTAGTCTTCGTTCTTTCTCGGTATATCTCGGCATATTTAAATTATTTTTATGACAATAAATACAAAATTAAATTTTCACTGTAAAATGTTTGAAAATACTAACCTGGAAAGACAATAATCATTTTATCATTTGACATTGTGAAAGTATTGTCATGTGTAAGATAATCAGCGTCAAATTATATTTATGCGCATCATTGATTGGATATCTATTTAGCGTATTCTAAACTCCAACCAATTATACATCCGTAAGTAGAATTTGCTTTAATATGCAAATACTCGTGAACGATACATAATTTTCTATGTTCTATGTATAATAATCACAGACTCACGTCTTTTTCTGTCACCTCTAGCTTTATGCGTTAGAGAGAATTCGATCAACTATGACGCACTGAAAAAAGGGTTTGGGACGGACCGTACATATATATTTTTAATACGTACATATATATATATATATATATATATATATATATAATATATATATATATATTATAATGAAAACAGAAATACAATAAATTAACTAAGAAATATATACAACCAGATATGCAGTTTTGATTAGTAGATTTATTTAAATAGTGGTTAGAGACATAATTTGTAAGTTATATATTAGATAATATTATTAAAAAATAATTATATGAGGGTATTTTTAAGAATTTAGCATAAGAATTAAATTTAAGAAGTTTTTTTTATTTTATTTAATATTAGATATTTTGAGTCAGCATATGCAACCAAACATACACTGTAGTGTCAAAGTCAAAATGTTATTTATTTTTGGAATGTTAATTTAGAATATAATTTTGGATGGGACTATCTACATAATACATCACAGGCAGGAAATCATTCCAGATTGTTCATATAGAACAAATAGAACGATTCGAACATGATTTATTGCTGGAATGTTCTGGAAACAATGAAAAACATATAAAAAGGCATGTAATTTGGAGCAGTCAGTCAGTCAGTCAGTTTGAGTTAGAGTTTAGTTCAGGTCAGTTACAGTTTTAGTTCAGTTAGATTTCAGTTATCAATCAGTCAGCTACAGTAAAATTATAATTCAAGAATTTAGTAACAAGAAGATTATTAATTGAGTTAAGTGAGTTAGTTAGAAGAAGTTCCAAATCGGTTACAAGATTATTATTGAGGAGTTAGTTATAAAAATTCAAGGATTATTAAGTCAGTTGTTTATGAGGTTATGAAGAGATTCTTAGCTAGCAGAAGGCATTGATTAAGTTAAATGAATTGTTAAGTTAAATACAATTAAAGATTAATTATTACTACAGTAATATAGTGACAGTTTGAAGTTAATTCATTGAAATAAGCATTCAATAATACAACCACTAGATCCAGTATATTTCAAAGTACATTAAGTATATGGAAATTACAAGGAGTTAAATATATATTTATATGGTGAGTGGAGATAATTAATAAGGAACATATTAAAATAGTTGGATAACCAATGCTTAGTAAGAAGATATCGAGTGGTGATAATAACTTTAATTTTGGAAAAACTTTAGGCGTTCAGTGAAAGAAGGTAATAAATTTTGTTAATAATTTAATAATTGTAAGAATTTCAAATTTTAGATAGATTGTGTTAAATTGATATTGCTTATATTAGATAGATAGGTTTGTTTCATAATATTTATAATAAAGATAATTTAAAAAAGTACTTACAAACTAATTCTTTGAGAACCGCGATAAAAACCCTATACTTACAAATATCATTCAAATTTACTCATTGCTCATACAACAACAACACATCATAACAATATATATATATATATATATATATATATATATATATATATATATATGTGTGTGTGTGTGTAGGTGTGTGTGTGTGTGTGTGTGTGTGTGTGTGTGTGTGTGTGTGTGTGTGTGTGTGTGTGTGTGTGTGTGTGTGTGTTCTAGTCAAAGGCAGATATGCACTCTATTCCCGGTATGACACCAAACACCTAGGCCTAGACTATCCTAGAAGTGACAGATTCGGTCAAACTGTCAGTCATTTCATGTTTGTATTTTAATCGTCAACATGATTATATTATTATAAGATTAGAGAAGGTTTAAAAGTGAAGTTTTAGGAGAAAATTACTAATTTAAATAAATATGTGTTGATTTCATATAATAGCTAAACATATTTATGTATAAGCAGATTATCTGTAAGCCTACTAAAGTAGCTATAAAGACAACGTATTTGCAGTGTCGTCGTCTCAAACGCAGCGATGTTTTGTATTTTAGGGACGAAAAAAAATTGATAGGTATAGCCATTATCAATGAAGGACGATGAAGGACATCAACACGATGAAGGAAATCGGAATATTTCAGTGGTTAATAGAAACCGTAAAAAAACTTTACAACAACAACAAGGTAAGAGTTAAAACCGGCAATAAATACACCAACAAATTTAAGACCACAAAAGGCTTATTGCAGGGATGCTCTACATCTCCGACACTATTTAAGATATTCCTCGAACAAATAATAAAACCATGGAAATGGAAATCTGAAGGTATGGTAATACCAATCCGGGACAACTTCTTGTACACATTAAGCTTTGCAGATGACCAAGTGGTAACGGCTTAAGATGAAGAAGATCTGTGCTATATGCTCCGAAAATTAGAAAAGAAATACACAAAAAATGGACTGGAAATAAACCTCGAAAATACCGAATATTTAACAACAGAGCAAGAACCAGTGAGAAACTTGGAAATGGGCGATAATAGGGAAATTAACGGCACTGAAAAATTCAAATATTTAGGATTAATACTCTTAAAAAATGGAACCACCGAGCAATAGGTAACCAGCAGATTAG